CTATTGCACATCTACACTAAATTGTCCACTGGTAGCATCAAAACTCATGACATACGTGACGAGCTAGTTACTTAGCTGTGGTCATGTTTCAGACCCGACAGTGCCAGGGAACAAAACAGAAAGAGCTACTATGTGTACTCCGAGGCCCAGATAGTCAATGTGGAGTAGGTGCGTGGGTTGAAATGTCACCATTACGCTCTCTACGATATCCAGGTTGGTTGAAGCAGATCCCGCGCCTGATCACAAGATAAACAAAACAGTGCGTTTAGCGGTCCTTACCTTGCTGCTTGGATGTTCAAATGGAAAATTCCATCACAGAATGGCAGCGATGCTCGCCCTAATGACCTGGTCATGCTCACAGAGCGTATTAGCACGTCTTGAACAGCGTACAGTTTGTGTATAACTGTCGACACAGTGTACCTCGTATTCGTACAAAAGCCAAGATTGTCCCACTGTGCATATGTGTGAATATGATCGTCACAAGGACTTCAATGACGTATGGCTGCATATACTACATACAAGTGTCCTATGATGGAAGACTACATGTCAGTGCTGTATGCACTGCAAAGATAGCGCAGTGTCATCAACAGACACTAGTACACTCAGTGTTGGTCTGAGCCGGCACCAGTACACACACACACACACACACACACACACACACACACACACACACACACACACACACACACACACACACACACGCACTACGCTCTTAAAATCATGTTTTCACGCAGTTGGCCAATTGGCCTTGTGAATATGTGAGACATTTTGTCATGTACATGCATGATGCAATTGACCCCTCTCCCCCCTCCCCCCCCCCCCTCTCCCTGTGCTCTCAGACTTTCTTTGCAGCCTTTCCATGAGTTCACATCAGCACATATCTCACGGTCGGACGAGCTGCCCAGGCCTCTCCACCACTGCTGTTTCTGTGCTGCCTTCTCTATACATAATACATGTACGTGTACGTGTACGCTGTATATGTGCATATTCACATGTCTGAACGCTTGTGGTTTTCAATAAACAAAATAATGGTTCGGCCGGCGTTAACGTTTGCGTCATGACACAAGGCGCAGCTAAACCGAGATCCTTTGGTGAGTTTAGCTGCTCTTGCCCCGCCTCCACTGCTTTTGTTGCCATCGCTATGTGTATCCCTTTGCACTTTTTCCGGAGTTTGCTTCGTGATGGTGTCTGGTTATCTTGCAAAAATACCCATTCTGCCATGAACGTGTCGTGTTGTCCGCATACATACATTTGAAGCTGTATTGCTATCTTGCGAAAATGCCCGTTCTGCCATGAGCGTGTCGTGTTGTCCGCATACAAGGACATACATTTGAAGCTGTATGAAGTTGCACATAACTGTAGACAAAAAGCTCTGGGTTAAAAGTATTCGCAAGTGGTTTCCTGGTTTCCATGTTTGAGATGTTCTACGCTCAGTGCACTGGTCCGGGGTAGCATCCGTTGCTGCCTCTTCATGTTTTAAAGACCATTTTGGGCTTCGTGACCTGGCACGAGGGAAACATGGATGCAGTGAATGGGATTTCGGTCTTTGACCACTTTGTGGTGGGTCTGATCTACTCACCTCCCACCGCTTAGGAGCTGCATCTGCGCCTTGATCCAAGAGGGTGGTGGCGTTCCTGCGGATGCGGAAAACAAGGGCCTTTGGCCGAGTCTCACGCGAACCGTGAATTTTTTTTTTTTTTTTTTGGGCTTCGAGGAGGGCGACAACTACATGCACGTTTGAGGACAAAGATATCCAGCTCCAACTTTCGGTGCTATGCAAGGCTCTAGGAAACACGCCTGTGAAAACATTGTAAATCTATTTTATTGTAGATAAACGCGCGACTTCGCGGAATTTGCTTCGAAGCACAGTAGCGGAATTGCTTTCAAATTCAAAGATCTGCGTTGTAAATGCGGTTACGATCTCAACGGTGCCCTACAGAATCGCATGGGTCACACAATGCACTGCATCCCGTTCTTTTCACCATATCAACCACTATACGTGCGAGAGACCAATATGTTGGAGGGCCAGTTTGGAACACAATGAACTGCAGCACAAGGTAGCTTCCAATGTCCCGATTGGTGTTTACAGTTTAGTGCCAAGGTCCAGTTCCTTGTTAGTCTTATCCCCCTTTCTCCTTTCATCGTGATCAATAACGTGGTTTCGTATCTCCTCCTAAACTCTTCAGAACATAGGGCGGGAGAATTGTCACTAAGCGAATAGGCCTTTGTTTCAAACAGTGGACGCGTGCATCGAGCCAACTGCCGCAAGTGATTATAGCGATGCTGAAGGGCATGACATCACACGCCTCCACATTGTGATTGGTTAATTAAGTCGATACAGTCTGCACCTCAGCCCCAACAAAGGGATACACGCTACTATAAAGCCTTGTCTTGGCCCAAGCTCGTGTGCATCCGCACTGCGATCCATGCCACCATGACCATGATAGCTCTTTCACCAGTTAATTATCATATTTTGAAAACGAAGGCTCATAGGACCAGTCCATTGGTTCTTCTACACCTATTTCGTTATTATTCTGCGCTTTTACCACCGTTGGGTCCGAGATAGCCGTGTAGAATCTGCTATATGTGGGATCACTTTTCCTGGCGAATAGCAACGGTGCTGGTGTCGACTGGTTGGCGAAAAGAGATAGATTACTCTCTGAAGTGGCGGTGCGGGGCGCATTGACGGTTGTTGATGACTGCTGCTGCGGAGTCATCTGCCGTTGTTGCGAGTTGCTTAGAGGCCACGTCCACGATTTTTGCTGTCCACCAAAATAGTTAGCTGTGTTACTGTCTGATTTCCGTTGCATTTTCACCTAGCGTTTGCTCGTGATTTCGCATGAGCCTTGAACTGCAAATGTTCGTCATCCAGGCAGCACCTGTGTCACTGAACAGCCTGGAGTGGTGTTTAGGTGGCTGCTGTTATCCGTACGCTCACTCTAGTTTACCTCTATAGAGTTGTACTGCAGCGCGCAATCTTCAAATATCGCGATATCGGCTGACTTTGAGCGCCTACTTGCATTACGCACATGAACGGGTACTCGCACTTGTACTAAGTCTTGCTCACTGCCAGAAACTGGTCACGTGGGTCTCCTCTAGGAAGGGGAGAGACACGCAAAAGTAACTTTAATAATGATGAATCAATTGGCTATTGAAGCGCCCAAGCACCGACACCCCCTGTAGTGCCCAAACTATGGGTGGATTTGGAAAACGAATGGTCCCACGAATGGGCTCAACACACCTCAGTAAGTGGGCGAGGCGAAGATGCAGAAAAGAATCGAGCGCATGAAGTTCTTGGTTCCGGAATACACCCGCATTTAGCTCTACCCGCCAGTGAAGTTATTACTCTCGTTACAAGTGTTGGTGTCTAGATCAGCGTGGATCTACTTGTAATAATTTTTAGCCTTCCCGACCGGCACTGACTACTCAATAGCGAAGTCTGATGAGCCTGATGTATGTAGCCATGCTGATGTGTGTAGCCATGCTGATGTATGTAGCCATGCTGATGTATGTAGCCATGCTGATGTATGTAGCCATGCTGATGTATGTAGCCATGCTGATGTGCAGTCATGCTGATGTATGTAGCCATCCTGATGTATGTAGCCATGCTGATGTATGTAGCCATCCTGATGTATGTAGCCATGCTGATGTATGTAGCCATGCTGATGTATGTAGCCATCCTGATGTATGTAGCCATGCTGATGTATGTAGCCATGCTGATGTATGTAGCCATGCTGATGTATGTAGCCATGCTGATGTATGTAGCCATGCTGATGTATGTAGCCATCCTGATGTATGTAGCCATGCTGATGTGCAGTCATGTATTAAAGGTATGAACAAGTCATACAACTTGCCAACCTACACTAATCCCCACACCAATCCGCACACCAATCCCCGTACCAATCCGCACATCAATCCATTGTCCACATCTCCGTTTAACCCTTTGAGGCCCATAGTACGGATATATCCGTACCAGTGTACAGTGCATACTTTTCAAAGCGCAACCTGGCGTAACTCGGCTGTCCCTTGACCAAATCGGACAATCGAAAGGGCTATCGACATTAGAATTGTCTCAGCTATCGGCTCGAAAAAACCCGAACGCGATCCGAGTTCGGAGAGCGGAGATACGAGACTCGAACTAAATTCGCTCAGCAGAGTCAACTCGAGCGCGTGCATTTTGAACTCGTTTTTAGGGGTTTTCCCTGACTCGCGGCCCACGCAGCTACAGATAGTTTACGTCATCGCAAAGGCATGTTTCTCAGCTCTCCAGGAAAAAAATTTGAGCGATCTGCGATGCAATTTGTTGAAATGGCAGAGAATTTGAGTTGGGCGCTCGCAATGCTGGCTTTGGAGCGCCGTATCGCGCTGCGGCGCTGGTTCTGTCGATCGAGTGATGTATTGCTGGCTATCGCTGTGTTCCTCTGGCCAAGAGCTTTCCAGAAAGCCCAAGATCACCAAAATCGGCCAAAGGACACCAAAGTTACGACCAGATAAGTACCTGGGCTCGCGTATGCAGTGCATTTCTTCAAATAATTGTGGGCCCTAAAGGGTTAATCTACTTGCACCTGTTCCAGCACGAACTTGTCCATCTATCTACCCCCTTTTGCATTTCTTGCATCCATACTCAGAAACGAGTGAGAACTTGACATGCTCTAATTCATGATTCCATCTAAATAGATACAAAGTCATGTATATGCTTACTACACAATCTTGCTAAGTCGACTAGGTCTTCGACTAGGTCTTCCGCGTTCGGACAGCGGAATTATTTCAGACATTACTGCCAAGGAAAACTAGAGTAACATGGTATGCTAGTACTAGTAGTAGCAGTAGAATTTTATTTTGCTAGGTATGCTGCCGCCACAGGCGTCTAGACCTCATCACTGGGTATTGCTAGGTGTGTGACTTTAGAGTTTATGCGAATCGTGGGAATGCTGCAGGCGAGGGTGCTTGGCGATGACGAGTTCCTTCTTGCCGATGTGTTGACACGTGCACACACTCCACTACAAACTGTCGTCCATATCCATGGGCTCACAACCATCGTCTTCTTTTTCAGGTGATTTGAGTCTTGGTTCACCGTAATCCCAGTCCATGGGGGATTCATGAGGAGGGATGTCCGCCGGTGATGGGAATTTCAAGCCTGGCATTGGACTTCTAGTAGGGGTTCGTACAGCGCCAGCGGCCGCCGTAGCCGTCGGTGTCCTAGCTGGGGAGCGTCCCCTAGCAGGTGGTGTTGCTCTTGCCTGCTGGCTGGTGGAGTCTGGACGGCAAGCTCCCCTGCCCAATCCCTCTCCGTACTTGAGCCGGGTTGGCTTTGCAAGGGGCAATTGACGCCTTGGTGTCGGCACATGGGGATCGGGCCTAGCGCTATGAGCTGCTGCCGAAATTGCTTTGCTTGATGCCGCCGCAGCTCCTGCCTTGCTTGATGCCGCCGCAGCTCCTGCCTTGCTTGATGCCGCCGCAGCTCCTGCCTTGCTTGATGCCGCCGCAGCTCCTGCCTTGCTTGATGCCGCCGCAGTCCCTTTGCTGGGATCTGCGGGCGAGGCTGGGGAGGCGGCTATGGCAGCCAAAGTGGGTGGTTTGGATGCTTTTTGGCGTTCTGCCGCTCTCCTCTGGAGCAGACTGGCCATATTGCGCACCGCGGCCGGCGTGTCTGGTTTCTTCTGTCTTTGTTGATCCATGCTGGCTAACTAGCAAAATCAAAAATAAGGAAATATTGGGTCGGAAGCAGAAATGGTTAACATGTATATATTTCACATGAATTGTTTGGACGGTACACATCGACAGCTGCGACGTAAGGGATTGTTGCGTATCTGAATACAAATTATGTACAATGCAAGCAGGGAAACTCCTCACGACATGTAGTAGTATTCTTTTATTTATAGTGGAGAAACAAAAACAGGCAGACGCCTAATAACAATGGACCCACTGTGTAGGGTGGTGGAGGAAGGGGGGGGGGGAGACATGGCTAATGGTAAATAGTGGCGACGAAATAGAGCAGTTCCAGCACTTTTACAGAAACATGGGCGTAAAGCTAAAAGCAGGCAAGAATGTGTTGCAAAGTGCTTGACTTGAAGGCGGCCAGTTTGGTGATGCCTCGGATATCCGCATGGAGGGAATTCCAGAGAACTGCACCAGCATGTGTCACCAATTTGGTAGAATGTGCAGAAGCAGCGGCAGGGACGATAAGCAGGTTACTGTTGCCTCCTCGAGTTCTTCATGACGAAAGAGGTCGAAAAAATCTTCCTCAGCCTACTCAAGCTCAACTGATGAGGGGTGAATCCTCGAAACACTGTGTATTGAGCAGGGAGTAGTGCTTTTCTGCAGGTTTGCTGAGTGGACTGTTCGATGGACTTCTCGTGTGCTCTAGATGGCATTCGTGAGTCAGTCAAGTGAGAATTCAAGTCAGCATAAAAACCTCGAGCTCCCATGTATGTAGTAGTAGTAGTATTCTTTTATTTTCCATCGGAAGCCTCAACAGTGATGAACACAAAGCTTAAGAGGGCCGATAACAGAGTAGAGGGGTGCGGGGTGAGAAAAAATAATAATAAAAGATATTTAAACTAAACTAACTGTGTAGGGAGCAACACACAATTCCCCAAGTATCCCCGAAGTCGCACCAACCTCTTCTTCACATTGTTTCTGCAGCGCCGGTTTGCAAACTAGATGGTCTGGAGGTAACACCGTTGTTGCTGTTGTTTATTTATTTTACATCGCATGGCAAACGGGCAGTTCTGCTCAATATTATGAAAGCGATGACAACCAGTAAGAAGAGTCAGAAATGAAGAGAAAAATAAATGAAATAAAAATACGAAAATGAGAAGTAGCTATGAGGGGAGGCAGGGTCAAGACGAGCAGAACAAATGGATCTCAAATTTACAAGTCGGGTCATCGTAGCATGATTCTATCGAGCCTCATCAGCAGGTTACGAAAGCCATTACATTTAACCGAAGTAAAATACGCGTAGCATGCGTTTGAATTCACGGACAGATACTATGGACTTCATACAGTCGGGCAGGCCATTCCAGAGTCGGCAGCTGGCTAGAAGCGGTCGGCATGCGCCAGAAGCACTGTGGGCCAGGGGGAGGGGAAGGTTGCGTCCCAGTTGACCTCGAGTGGTCATGCCTGTCGGCGGGCCTTGCAATACAATCCGCGACGACAACAGCTCACTGACGATTCCAGAACGGATTCTAAATGTCAGGACTCGAAGCTTGCATTCCCCTCGTTCCAGCACTGGGCAGACACCCAGCTTGGTGTACAGGGGAAGAGTGTGGGCCAATGGGTGCTCATCGGCCACGCAACAGATACAGCGTTAATCCAGTTTGGCTACTGTGTTCCGCTGCTCAGCGGACAGTCCTGGGAGAAATGCATTCGACGCAGAATATCCGGTATGATAAGGGCAGAGTAATACAGCATCGCCTGCCGCACTGTTAGGCAGTGCCGGATCTGGCGGAGGATCCGGAGCTTCATAGCCGTGCGTCGGACGATAGAGGTGACTTGCGGTGACCAGCGAAGATTTTCGTCCAGAGTGACTCCGATGTAGCGAGCCGTACTGGTCTGGGCAAGGGGCGTGACAGTGCAAGAAATGTGGAGGTCGAGGTGTGCCTGCTGTCCAGCTTTGATTGCAATCTTCGCTGGTCACCACAAGTCAGAGACCTTGGTCGGCTGAGCTTCACAGGTCCCACCCACTCCGTCCTGCTGGATATGTACCATTGTGTCGAGTTATCCTCCACATTTTAGTTCATTATGCAGTGAGTGTTCAATAGTAAAAAAAAGAAAGAAAAAAGTCACCTCTATCGTCCGACGCACGGCTTTGTTGTGAATGAAAACAGTCCTAAAACAGTCCTGGAACTAAAGAAAGTCTAAATACGCTATGTCAACTTCAATCCTTTCACTTTAGACGCCTGTATCTTTCACTGGTCACCCTCTTTAGATACATCAATTCGCACCCTAATCGCCTCGCAATGTTCCACATTACCGTTACCAAAAGTGAGCGCCGTGCGAACAAACTAGTCTTCCATCGACATGGACACATACTATCTTCTATTTCTGTTTCAGGTGGGCAGTCTGTGCAAATGTCGGCCCCTACAATAAAAAAGAGTAAATTATCGTGTCCGTTCCAGAAGGGAACTCACGACGGCCGCTAACACCCGATAAACCCTAGCGGAAGATGCAGCGCCTAACGGTGGCGGTGAGTGGATACGTCTCACAACCACTGGCACAAGTGCCGAAAACGACCCCATTAGCTGCATCCATGCACCCATTGTGCCTGGCCACAAGTTCTCAGTTGACTGTGGGTAGCAGCACGGCTGGAAAAACCGCTCCCAGGCAGGACTTGAACCAGGTACCTCTCGTATCTCAATCATGGTCTTAATAACCTCCATCAAAAATATTGCTGAGTTTAAAAGAGAACTGCATAATAGTATAGCTAAGTTTCAATTCAACTGCAAAGGTATTCACTGATATGCCTTGTTTTCCTCATTGATTTGCTCACTTCAGTGAATATCCAATGCCCTATTCCTTCCAAGTTTTCCAATTCGTCGTGTTATTTCTCATTTTCTGCTCACTTTGTATTATCATATTCTCATCCTAACTGCACAGAAATGGAGACCTCCTTGATAGGCTTAAACGGCCTCTGGGAAATCCTAGAAATAAGATACAAATTATACACAATTCATTGCATTCCCAACTCATTACAACCACGCGCTCTTCAGCCGAACCATACAGACACCAGCAAGGACACTTCCGTTGAGAGATAATGTTGATCCACGCCTCTAGACAGCTGTTTCGCTCCCTGTCGGAGCTCATCAGTAGAGGATGATAATGATAATAATGGAGGAATGATCATTCTTATACACCAGAAATGGCGCAAGTGCGCGCTTTCCACATATATCAATGGCATATGCAAGCTGCTAAAATGGTAAAGTGTGAGAACAGCGATAAATAATCATAGTACGCGCTCATTGGTGGAGAAACACACCACACAGGCGTGTTTAGGTCTGTGTATTTAGTTCTGAAATTATACACAGCTACATGTAATTGCCGGCTGTAGCTCAGCAGGCTCTTCTGCACAAAACTCTAGGAAAATAGACACTTGACTGACTCACGACTGCCATCGAGAGAACACGAGAATCGAACCTTCGACGCTGCAAAAGATACTTCCTTCTTTCTCGCAACTTTTCGTTGCTTTGAAAGGAATCGCAACTTCATTTCTTCTTTTTCGCGAACTGCCTCGCAACTATTCCGCAACCTTGGCCCCATGCGGTGGTCTAAAGGTCAAGTCAAAGAGTACAATGCACTCACGCTCATTTCTTGCGTGCTTTCACACTCATTTCAGAGAAACAAGAAATCAATGTTAAGTTCCGTTATGTGCATTCCCTTTTGCGTGCACTGAAATGATGGAAGGTGCGTACAACAGGCTACTTGCACTGTATAAAGTTGTGGTTTACAGCAGGAAGGCGTATAAAGTTTGCTGTCGCCGGCTAGACGCACTGCCGCCATTGCTGCTGCCTTTTTGTGGTTTTGGCATCAACGTTTGCGCAAGACCGCTCTCATTTTAGGTTGCGATCTTAGCAACTTTCGAGTTTTTCCCAAAAAGGTGAATGCGCTTTCAACGATATGCAATTGTATTGGGCGCGGTTGCGAAAAGCAGACGTTGCAAACAATTAAGGCATCTTTGGGACAGGGCTACTAGGCAAACCTACAAGAAAGCTCCACTCCCTGCTCCATACAGTGCTTCGGGAAATTCACCCCTCATCAGTTGAGCTTCAGTAGGCTGAGGAGGATTGCGCCTTTTAGTAGCACTTATAGTGATGCACTTCTATATTTACGAAGAAAAACAAATTGCATGGGTTTGGATAAAAGGAGGGTCGAGAACAGCCTTTCCCTTTGAGTGGGACACCACCACCCCATGATCAGGCGTCAGATGCGGCTCATGAAAGGTGGGGAGGATAGATCAGGTACACCAACCAGAGGCCAACGGCCAAACTAGGACCTTCCGCCCGTTTACACTGGGAAGCGGTAATTGTAATGCGTAATTGTAATAGTGTAGTGTTGTTCACTCCAATTTTTTTGGCACACCTGGTTACTGAACAGTTTACAAGTCTGACATTGGACTTTCAGTAGGGTTTTCTGCAGCGCCACCTGTAGTCTTAGCCGTAGCCGTCGGTGTCCTAGCTGGGGAGCGTCCCCTAGCGGGCGGTGTTGCTTTTGCCTGCTGGCTGGAGGAAGCTGGATGACCATCTCCGCTGGCCTTGGCCCCTTCGCACTTGGGTGGTGTTGGGTTTGCTAGGGGCGATTGACCCTTTGGTGTCGGCGCTTGGAGATTGGGGAGATTGGGACTAGCGTCACCAGCTGCTGCAGCATTTGATCGCCGTTCCGCGAGCTTAGCGCCCTTCTGTGACATCGCCAGTGCTGGGATGCGCATGGACATAGCTGCATTGCTTGGTGCCGTGGAAGCTCCTGGGCTGGGATCTGCGGGCGAGGCTGGGGAGGCGGCTATGGTAGCCAAAGTGGGTGGTTTGGGTGCTTTTTTGCGTTCTGCCGCTCTTCTCGTGGCCGGCGTGTCTGCCTTCTTCTGTCTTTTTTGATTCATACTGGCTAACTAGCAAAATCAAAAATGGGGAAATATTGGGTCGGAGGCAGAAATGGCTTAGCAACTTCAACATGTAGAATACTATTATTTCACATCAATTGTTTAGATGGTACACATCGACAGCTGCGACGTAAGGGATTGTTGCGTACATGAATACAAGTTACCAGTATGTGCAGTGCAAGCAGGTTAACTCCTCACAGCATAGTTCATAATTTTTTCACCTCCATTTGGCTCTCTTTGTACGTGTACAATTATCATCCGCTTGTACTATTCCTATGGTATTAATTTTTATTCTCCTGATCGGTGACGTCATTCCACTGAAGAAGGTCACAAGAAAACGGTCTGGATTCTTACTCGTTTTGTTTCTGTGGACATAACAGCAAAATCAATTATCTTCATAGACTTGCGAAGCAGGTACTTAAAGTACTTGTAATCGCAAACATGATTCGCAATAGTACAGTGGGTCCGGTTCTAGTCTCTTCTGAGAATTTCGGGTTGCGACCTGCATTCCAGCTGATAATCCACAGCACGGATGATCTATTGCTCTCTTCGCCATGGACCACTTCTTTGGCGCGAAACGTTCTCTATCAATGCCGTTTTCGAACAAAATTAAAAGAATTTTCCGATTTCACTTTCCCTTGTCTTTCGTTCTTTTCCTTGTCTTTTGATCTTCCCCTATATTCTATTGCTTGTTTACTAACTTAGAAGTTGCGCCTTCGGTGGTAATAGTCATGAAGTTGATTGTTCGAACTAGGAACACACGCCTCTTGCCGAACTTTGCACTTGACTGACTCACGACTGCCATCCTCATCAACTGATGAGGACCCCGAAACACTGTGTATTGAGCAGGGAGTGGTACTTTCTTGCAGGTTTGCCGAGTGGAAGGTGCGACGTGCTCCTCGTGTGCTCCGGATGGCAGTCGTGGGTCAGTCAAGTGTCGAGTTCGGCAAGAAGCGTGTGTTCCTAGTAGGAGCAATCAACTTCATGCTTGTTTGCTCAGTGCTGTATCCCAAATTATTCTGTTTTGTTTCACACCGCACCTGTATGAAATAGTGGTAGCGACTTCGGCGATGATTGTTAGGAAACAGTTTGCTCCCCACGCTGGAGCTCGCGCTATTCCACCGACTTGACTTGACACTTGACTGCCATCCAGAGCACACGAGAAGTCCATCAAACCCTGCTTCGACAATAGCCCTTTCTTAAATATGCTTGGTGCTACAATTGTTTGGTGTTATTCCTCGTCGGGTGTAAGTTTTAGTCTTTCCAACTTGAGCCATTCCTTGTATAATCCTCGATGAGAAGGGACCAAAAATGTTCGGATTTTTTTGACAAGTGCCTTATTGTGACTGGATGTGTGTTTGCGTGGATTCTTGCCACCCAAAACTTACCTTCGTTTTTAAAATAATAATAATAATAATAAACGACGGGCAGAATAGATCAGATCCACCACCAGAAGCCAAAGGGCAAACCAGGGCTTTTCGCCTGTTTACACTGGAAAGCGGTAATTGTCATGTTGTAGTTATGTTCACTTCACATTTTTTCGCAGACCTAGTTACTGAACAGTTTACGTTTCCCTGTGTTGACCGATATCTTGTTCGCCAGGTTTGTAGGGTATGCAGAGTATGCACAGTAGTTCAGCGTCAGAGACACTTTGTCTTCCCCGTTCTTGCGCAGTTAAGCGCATGTGTTAACGTTATGTTGTTGTTGTTGTTTATTTTACTTCGCAGATTCTAACGGGCAAGTTGCCCAATAACAAGAAAGCGAAGGCAAAGAAAATACTAATACTAATAAAAGAAATAACCGGGGTAGCGGAAAATTTTTAAAGAACTCAGATGGTGAGCCAAGGAACAAATTTCCATGTTACAAATAATCGCTTTTAAAAGTAAAAAGAAAAGAGCGGGTGGTACAGCAGACTTCCTATTCTGAATTCCCTGAACGAAACAGAGATGTAGGGAGGTTCATTAATTTTACGTTATTCATGTTATTGTGACCTATTATAATGTTGTTTGCTTCTCTGCGTTGTCTCCTCTCTGTTTCGGATCGCGCGAAGAGTCTTCCATGCGCAATGCATGGCACATCGCAGCGAAATCCTGCAGGGCACGCAGTGCCACGCACAGCTCGAAACTGTACGCGAGCTGTCACGTGGGTCGGAGTGTAGAAAGTGATGGACATCGCTGGTCGCAGAAGTTGAACTGGGCTCAACTTCCCGCGATGCGAAAACAAGAAATAAGAATAACAATTTGAAGAACGCAATCGATAAGACAAGCTGAATCGACATTCGTGTATACTTTATTCATGCAATACAATAAAACGATGGAGACAATGTGCAATTCAACGGTGAAATAGTAAGAAATAGTGTAGAGAAAATAAGGATTCAAACAAGTTTCCGTAAAACACATCAGGAATCGTCGTTGTACTACAGGACACTGAAACAAAATTGAACTATTATCTGATTATAGAAAACCTAAGTTCAAGACATAACACCAAGAACAACAGCAGTGAAATTTACAAGTGTGAATTTTAACAATGAAAGCGAGAGCAATCACGAATGCGTTTGCTAACAATAAACTTGCAAATAAAACATGAACAAACAAGAGAAAGAAAGAAGGAAGGACAAAGTGATAACACATATATGACATAACACCAAGAACAACAGCAGTGAAATTTACAAGTGTGAATTTTAACAATGAAAGCGAGAGCAATAACGAATGCGTTTGCTAACAATAAACTTGCAAATAAAACATGAACAAACAAGAGAAAGAAAGAAGGAAGGACAAAGTGATAACACATAACAGCAGTACATTTCACCTAGAACAATAACGGCTAAGCCGTCGTTATCTATACTGCGAAACGATCGTCCTGTGAAACTGCTGCTTGTTACCGCTGCTTATTGCCCATCTAAATTGTCATAGTCGAAGTACAGTGCTGTTTTCCTGAGGCATTCGGTTTTGCATGATTCTTGTTCGCATAGCTTCCCCTTTATTGATCTTCGCATCTTTTGAGCCACACAAGTTGTGTGGAATGTTGCTTTGCGTCCTTAAATCGTGGTTTGACCGAATTGTCCAATGGTCTTGCCAGTATCGTCATCGACATGCATGAACATCCGCCAACGTCCTTCACAGCTGAGACTTTCAGCTCGTGCTTATCTTGGTTGCGCTCACCTTCTCCTCCTTATGTTATTTCTATAACTTAGAACATTCCAAGTTGGAAGGCAGGCGGAATGCGCATCCAATATGTGCTAGATCTGTCAGCCAGTTAGTTGTAGAACGTCATCACCGTCGGTGAGTGTCGTGCAATGTTATCGAATGAGTGGATTGTTTAGTAACTGGTGGTGTTAGTGGACATTATAGCATAACTTGTACATGTAGTTCCTTGGTCCATTTTTTCTTCCATAAATTATTATTATTGTTGTTTTTTATTCTAGGTTGGCCGTCGCAGGGCTTGACCGAATAATGCACAGAGAAAGGGTGCGGCACTGCCCGCCGATTGAGCTAAGTCAATAATTAGTCCGACAGGAAAGTTACCATGGTTAAGAAGACGATGGAACCCCTGGACATTCCATAGTCAATTTATTTATTCGAAAATGGCTGCAGGTATTGTTAACTTGGATGGAAGTGACGTCATACACGCTTCTATAAGCCTGCAGGTATTATTAACTTGGATGGAAGTGACGTCATACACGCTTCTATAAGCCTGCAGGTATTATTAACTTGGATGGAAGTGACGTCATAAACGTTTCTATAAGCCTGCAGATATTATTAACTAGGATGGAAGTGACGTCATACACGCTTCTTCGAAAACCAAACCTGCATGAAGGTGCTGGGATTTAGTAAGAAAAGACGACTCGTGACCATGGTTGAATTGGAACAGCAATGGGCTGCACAGACAATTACTGTACAATTAGAAATTACACAAGCAGCAGTGATCGTTTCGATGATTTTCAGCCAAGGCGTGAGAATATACTGTCTCAAAAACGTGCAGACACTCTAGACGGATCCCTAGCAGTCTAACACTTTTTAAATACCTCTTTCTACTTGTCACGCAGCGCGCACGCCACTTCTTCTCTTCTCCGAGTTTCTGGCTCATCAGGTGACTTCTGTAGGTGTTTAGCGATCTCGTCTGCAACACGGGCCATGGAGAACCGTTTGCTGGGTTTCAGTGTCAGCAGATTGCAAACTAACATGTTAGCGAACTTTGACAGCACGTGAAAGTCCGAGTCCAAGAACGTGAGCTTTTCTGGATCTGCACCACCATTCAGGCCTTCGTTGTTTTGTGAGAAATAATTGTAATCGATATCCGAGTACTCAGCACGCTTCCATGGCGTGCGAGCCGTTGCTAGAGTCATCACCCATAGCACGGTCATCCCAAAGCTCCACGCGTCAGTTGCTGCTGATGGCTGTTCTTTCAGGCAGTACGACGAACTATGAATAAATAATTCTGGACAACGGTATATCGTTGTGTCTCCGAAATACTTGCACACTGTTGTTCCAAAGGGACGAGCTGTTCCGAAATCAATGACTTTAGCCTGCAGTTTCCCCTCCGCATCCTGGGTAACGACAAAGTTTTCCGGCTTAATATCAGCATGAGCTATTTTCTTGTGATGCACGTAGGCTATACCTCGGGCAGCAGAGGCAAGTAGTAGTAGGCAATCCGTCGGGCTCATTTCCAGAGTAATATCTGCAAAAGTGCCCCTTGGAAAGTACTCTACTTCAATCCCCCAGGCGTTGTCGAAGGTAAACTGTGAAGCAGTGATGCTAGCAATGAAGGGACAGGGTGATCTCGACCCAGTATTCCCGTTCAGTAGATACAGGTGCGTTTTTAACTCCCTGAGATAACGACGCTCGTTAATTTCAGAAACCACTTTATTGTTGTCCTCTCGGATAAACAGCTTCATAACTGTACCCGGAGAGGCCTCTTCGTTCTTCAGTAGGAGTATTTCACGGCCCCTGCCTTTAAATATGGACTGCTCGACCTTCTTGTGCGAGTAGACACTTTCGCCTCCTTGGATTACGGGAAAACTCGGCGAATAGATTTGGCGGGCTATGTTGAACGCCTCATCGTTGATGTAGTCACGTCGGGCAACTACCATAGCTAGTGGCTGCACTGCCGCGGCACCCTGCGCTGGCGCGGCACCCTGCGCATCTTTTGTTGGTGAATTTCCACTTGCACCATTGTCTTTTTGAGGGAATCGGGCTGCCATTGTTCTCTGACTTATCCGAGAACGCCTTCAGCTTTTCTAGTGGCGCAGCACAAGTTTCGGAATTCGTTCTACTCGCGATTTCCGCTGGATGTGCCAGTCAAGGTTCTAGTCTAACGACCTGCATGCAAACGGGCAATAGGATTAGGGTTGCCCTGGTTCCAGCGTTTCTTTGTGTGTACTCCAGCATAGGACAGTAGTTGTACATGGTGAGGAGACCAGTACGATCATGTATGAGTACAACGCCGTGGAGCTCTCCACGCACTCAAGTGAATACCACTATCTCATTCGCTCCCCGTACCGTGCCAAATGGTTGGCGGGGCGCTATACCGTACGTAAGTTGCATACGTCAATTTCCGTCTCACAACCATCTCAGAACTACCATGTACCTGACTGCACAGTTGCGCGCATCACGCGACCCTTGAAATCACCAAAGTGCAGACCATGGTGTCGATGGATGCGAGTAGGGAACATGAAATGTTCTGCGAGGCCATAATATACGTAAGGAGAAGAGTTTATATGTCGCCCCAAAGGCGATCTGTCCTTTTTTTCTTTTTTTTACTGAATACTACAGAACCATCAGGTGCTGCACAGCGGGGGCGGTGGCATATTGGATGGAAGTGGGGGCGGGGCAAAAGAAACTCCTCCGACCAAAGGTCTCGGAATCATCATTATTCCTGTGCGCCGATGCATAGGAGAAAAGAAACATGTGCATCCAAGAGGGAAGCACAGGCTTTGCAAACGATAATGGGGAGAATTTAGACCTATCTGTATCGAGCCGGTTCTATGATATAGAAATACCATAAGAAGGGGAAGGTGTAGGTTTCTAGAACTTAGAACCTTCCAAGTTGGACGGCTGTTTGATTGCGCATCCAAGGTGTGCTAGAGCTGTTAGCCAGTTAGTTGTAGCACGTCAGTGCCGTCGGTCAGTGTCCTGCAATGCTTTCGCATGAGCTGATTATTAAATTTTAGTAACTGGTGGTGTTAGTGGACATTATAACGTAACCAAATTATTTGTACATGTAGTTCCTTCGTCATTTTTTCTTCTATACATTTTATTGTTTCATTGGCTCCCATTTAATTGGGCGACATCACCCGTTTGGTTCGGCGAATTCAAAATCAAAACCTACCTACCCACATATTCCTACATCCCTGTGCCGATAGTGATCTCCTATGGCAGACGTTACCGTGGATCTGGCCAAATGTAGCTAACGCATTGCAGACAACACCGTCACCAACTCAGATAGGAACATTGTTGTCATCGTTGGTGGTGTTGGCGTGTGCCACAGTGGCGTTGGTGGTGTCGGTGTTCTCCATTCTATGAATTGAAGCGATTACTTTATCAACTTACGTGGGCGTTCGCACACACACTCACACCCAAATTCACAAACACACACACACACACACACACACACACACACACACACACACACACACATGACACTATTGGCCGTCCACGCAAGAATCGAACAACAGTTCCTCTATGCCCTTCAAAGCACTCAGCCTTTCCCTCCTTTATACCTTTCTCCTGAAGAGTTCTGCACACCATCGTCCCAACCATGGCTAGCAGCACCAGAGAAGACATGAGCATATACAGGGAGATGATGGCCTCCACTAACAACACTTACAACTTTTAACAGGTAGTTTTCTTTAAGAAGATGCTAGCACAATTATTGCAGTTTGGTCTTCTCAGGTACTACCTGTACTACCTACTGTCGGCTCGGACCCTTGGTGTTTTTACTCTGGCTGCTGCCGCTTGGTTTGGGTTTGGAAACGGCAGCTGCGGCCGCTGCGGCGGCTGTAGCACCAAGCTGAAGAGGCTGATTGGGAGCCAAAGGCGATGGCCCGACTAGTGGGAATCCTGCTTTCCTCTTCTTCACCGTTATCTTCTTCTTGCGTATTGCTTTCTTCTCCTCCGCATCGTACTGCTTGTCCGTGATATAGTTCAACTCGACATCCACCAACTTCTTCTCTCCCGTTTTCGGATCAACCTTCATTATAGTTTTGGGCTTGTCGATGTCGGCAAGACGATACACGCGGTCCATGGTTTATTGTCGAAGTACAAAGAGTAAAATCAGCACTTGGTTGTCGCGAACAAAAAGTTCAGAACGTAGTGACGCGTTTTGACCATCGCGTGGCACTATATTCCAGAACTTGACAGCTGTTACATCAACACCTGCCTTGTGACATGTAGGCCATACTGCAGAAATTAGTACGCAAAGAGTACATTCTATCTGTTGTTTTTTGCTGTGGAGATACGTACGAATCTTGGTCGTGTTTGTACTCGATTTTGAATCGCCTATATCTCATACCCGTAGATGGATGCGTATGTAATAATATTACTCTCCGAATTTTTTTCAACGTAACCAAGCCTCTTGTACGGGCAAAATAAACACAATAATTATTACGAGTGCAACCTCAACAGCACCGGAAGAAAAAAGAGCAAAAATGGCTGTGAAAACAGTCGAGTACTAAAGTCTAATGTCATAAAATGGCTGTGAATACAGTCTAATGTAAAATTTACAATAATTATTGTTATTATTAGTAGAAAGGAAAAGGACATATGGAAACGAGTTAAGAGTAACTCTCCACCACTGTAACTATACAGTTAGAAAGTGCAACAACTAGGCACACAAACTGACAGAGTACTGAGACATTCGACGTCCTGACACCGAGCTTCAACACATCTCCGTAGCGCTAACCGACAGCCTTCCAACTTGGAAGGTTCAAGGTTATGGAAAGACCAAAGAGTATCTTTGATATTTTTGACCCACCCAAGTTGGGTGGTGTGCTGCTTTGCTGCTTCGAATTGTAGTTAGACCGCTTTGTCAAATCGCCTACTGGTCTCGTCATCGTCCAGTGACAATCGACATTCTTTGTTCCGTTGGGACTGTAGCTTGTGCTCGTTTTCGTTGCGCTTGCCTTCCCCTCTTTGGTCTTTCCATAACCTTGAACCTTCCAAGTTGGAAGGCTGTCGGTTAGCGCTACGGAGATGTGTTGAAGCTAGGTGTCAGGACGTCGAATGTCTCAGTACTCTGTCAGTTTTGTGCCTAGTTGTTGCACTTTCTGACTGTATACAGTATCTAGTTACAGTGGTGGAGAGTTGCTCTTAACTCGATTCCATATGTCCTTTTCCTTTCTACTTTTATTATTGGCTCAATACCCGAGTTTCAAATTGTTATTATTAATTTTAATGATAACAATAATTATTGTACTTCGAAATGTACAACTACGATGTACATACTACAGTCATGTCAAAACCGGCCTTGGACACCGAACACAACTGCTGCCTCAGGACCGGATAGCCGCTTCAGCCACCACCCTCACAACAGAGGTGTCCATGGCTGGCAGGGGACGAATCCGCCGTGCGCCCCGCAAACAAGTAACGCTGGATTCCAGCAGGGCAAAAGACAGCCGGCACCGGATCCAAGACATGATCTGGCTGTACGGCTCCTTCGTCTTCTCTGAGACTAGAGACGCGACACGCTTGTAAAAAGTGGTGGCGGATTTCCCCATCCCACCACTGGCTGAGAAAACCAATGGCAGGAAGGTGGCATGCTCATTATCCCTGACGCGTTGGCCATAGTGTCGACGGTTTTCCTTTTCATGGCGCTGGTACGTGCTGGTGAGCACCGAAAATCGGTGCATGTACCGCGGGTTTACATTTGTGCTTTACAGTAAAACCTGCAAAGGCGACCACTCGGATAAGGCGACCACCTGTCCAAGAAGACCACTGAAACCAGAACCAAGGGATGCTATTTCCAGTCAAGGACCCTAGCTGGATAAGGAGACCACCTGGTAACAGAGACCACGTTTTGAAGGTCCCTTGAGCGGTCGTCTTACACAGGTGTCACTGTATTTGACTTGAGTATGTGAATTCGCAAGACCAAACGGGAAAATTAGAAAATAAAGAGGATGCCGCAGGCCAGGAGCGGAGGACGGTAATTTCCCAGGATTGAAAATTTGCGCATTCTTGGTAGGAACGTTGCTAATGGGATGGGGCGGCGGGTGTACTAGGCATGTACCACTGAGGGCAGGTGACATCAGGCTGTGCAACAAAAGTGGAAACACTGAAGAGAGAAGGCAGGGACAGTCGTAACTACGTAACACCACTGACGTTTACTGGTACAAGGACATGGGCATGTTGCTGCATACCGCGTGCTTAGCGTGGCTGTTTAACAGAAGGCGGATGCATTACATGATATCTTTCAGAGTCGGGTTGGACATCGCAGAGATAGCAGCCACTACACGACGGTGACGTGCATCTTTGTCTACTGATTGCTATACCCGGGACGTTGATGAACAAATCTCTGATCCAAACCTCTGGCCCTAGTCTCTGGTGCAAACCTCCGGTTCTGGTGTCCGGTGCAAATCTGTGGGCCATACCTCTGGTCCAAGCTCTGTCTGCTACTGGCCAGCACTTGTATGGAGTCCAGTTGCAAGTTGGACCTACATGTACATTGTAGTGTGTCTTGAGACAAGCGATTGCAGAAACTTTTAGTAGCTTCTACTGGTTGGGGTTCTGCAAGCACGTCCAAGAAGTTGCCAGCCAGGTGAAAACTCAGTCCCCTCAGACCCCCAGGCAGTCAGCCCCCCCCCCCCCCCCCCTAGACGCCTGGACACTCGGTCCCCGCTCAGACGCGCTCAGTCCCTCTCAGAAGCCTGCACACTCAGTCCCCCCTCTCAGACGTCTGGGCACTCAGTCATCCCCCCAGAAGCCCGGGCACTCACCCCCCCCCCGCCCCCCTTCAGACGCCCGGGCGGCTAATGTTTTAGAACATCATCGTCAAAACTCAGTGGTTTGAGGGAGACTGGAAAATGCGGACATCATTGTCTCTCACACTGGTGATGTAGTTCAAGTGGTACAATGTCAGGTACGTGTTGTGGGTTGACAGCAGGTAACAAGGCGGAGGAACAATGATTTTTCAATTCAAAAACAAGGCTTATCTCGTATGAAGTAGATCTTTGCATTCGTTGTTTGCATTGCGCAAAACTCACTGACT